CTATGCTGTGGAGTGGACTTGGGGGGAGGGATTGTATAACAATGAAAAAGTTTTTCTTTTTATTTTCAAGGAGAAGAGTGAATTGGGGGGAGGAGTGGGCAGGGAGAAAAGTGCAGCAATGAGTGAATGGAAACTCCAAGTCTCTGTAAACTTTCAGGAAAATTAATGTAAAAAAAAAATAAATGAGGGAGTGCTGGTGGCCTCGTGGCAAGAAGCTGCGCTGCAATCCCCAAGGCTATTTCACACATGAAATCACTGATCTCACAAATAGCAGCATTCCCTTGGTTATTTCAATAGAATCTTTGATGTGGAACTTTACAGTGAAGAGAGAGATCCCTTAAAAGGGGGAAAGGAAGGGGCTTGAATCCACCAGGTGCTCTGTGGGAAAAGGATGGGCTATCTCCTTCCAGACGATTAACTGCCTCTGCAAATGCGCAGGAGGGTCAGCTATGGGTCAATTCTGACTCTATACAACAACAACAACCACAACCACAACAAAGAAGTATTATATGCAAAAGTGTGCTGTAGATTATAAATAACGAGAAATAGATGAAATAAAAATTGAAAGGTATAAATAATAAAGACATCAAAGAGAAGTTACAGACAAAGCCAAAACGAAGCATTTTCAATTTAAAATTCAGACGAAACGTTTCAATGACGAATAAAACACATTTTCATTAAAAAGGAAAACAAATAAAAGAACCGGTTATAGAAAATAAATGAGCTATTCATTACAATGAATAAATATTGTTCGTCTTTGAAGCGGTTCTTCAATATGTTCGCACTTTATATATTAAACTTTGAAGTTACACTAAATTTTAAATGAAAATGAAAAAAATATAAGCGATAGACCAGAAAACTTTTTCTTAGGTCTTTCTTATTCATTGTCTAACTTTCACATGCATATGAAACAATGAAAAATGCCAGGACGTGGGCCAGGCACGCCTCAGTGTTTAAAGGGACTTTAAGCACTTTCATGAGGTCCTTGACAACAGATTTGCCCGATTCACTATGCTTGATTCCTTAACTGCTACTACCCTGGATGTTGGCTGTAAATCCAAGTAAAATGACAGTATTGCCAATTTCAAGCCTTTCTCACTTGTCTGTATGCTGTTTGGTGTGTGTGTGTGTGTGTGTGTGGGCGCTTGCGCGCGCGTGTGCAACTGTGAGGCCAGGGAGCTGTGTCACCCGCATCCCAAGGACTGGAAGATCAGTTTGTTTTGTTTCTCCAAGTGATCCTTGCTTCCTCGGAGGGACAGAGATGCTGGGCTTGACTTGATGAAAACCAGCACATGCACGCTGACAAATGATGTCCAGGAAATAAATGGACGTTGGGAAGTTGACATCTGAAAAATTAGTCCCTGGTTCACACAGACGGCTGAGTACTTGACTAAGAGTCTGAAGGCTGGTTATTAACATACCCAGGGGGCCTGGAAGAAAAACTCGACGGTCTGCCTTTGAGAAAGCAGAAACTCAGAACCCAAATGGGGAAAATCTCTTTTGTACACATGGAGTACGGGAACTCAGCAGACAGCAGTGACCCTGGAACCAGTGTCCCCAAGGCCGTCACTTACTTGAGCTGTTTGATGTTGCAAGTGGGGTGTTTCAGCGTCTCACACAGCTCCCGGACTGCCACTAATGAGAGGCTAGTGCCGCGTAGATTCAGGTTTTCCAGATGGGGCTTGTCGCAGATGGCCCGGAAGAAGTCTACCCGGTCCCCAAAGTTGGATAGAAAATACAGCCTGTGGAAGATCAAGACAACCTGGGCGTCCTGCTGGGAGGTCTGAGCACATGACAGGGAGGTGTGTCCAAGTCTCTCTGCCTTCCCGAGACCCCTTGGAGGGAAATCTTGGCTCTCTGCCCCTGACTGTTAGGAGGATTGTGGCCCACAGGTCTACCCTGCCCATGTGTGGGACCATCGTGGTTCCCAACGGGCTCGGTGGCACAAGGTAAGAACAGGAATTACAGGAAAACAAAGGGGGAAATACATCATGTCATCAGCCCTGTTCTAAGGAAGTGTTTTATACATGCTTCCCGTTCCCTGTACTTGACTTTGTTATTTATCCGACAATTACAAGCTCCCTTCCCATCTGTTCTTAGCACGCTTCCCATCTTTACCTTAGAAATATCTATTGATCCTTTAATTTCTATTCAAAGGTAACCTGCTATTAGAGCTACTCCCTTTCATATATCTTAACCAAATTTAGTCTAAATGCCACAATACTCAATGCATGGAGGTCTTGGGGGTTCAGTGGTCGAATTCCCACCCACCCCCACCACGCTAGAGATGCATGTTTGATTCCTGAGCAAGGCATCTCACAAGACTCCAGCCTCTATCAAAAGAGCCTGGTTGTCGCTGTAATGTTGAACAGATGGCAGCGAAGTTTCCAGACTAACATGGACAGGAAGCAAGCTAGTTGAGGGACTTCTGGAAAATCGACTTCGGTGGGATCTCTTTCGATCGGGATGGTCTCATCTGCAATCGATCATGAGTTCATGACCAACTCCTTGCTATTGTGAACAAAGCTGCAATGAACATGGGTGTGCATATATCTGCTTGGATGTCAGCTATGGTCTCTTCAGGGTATATTCCCAGTAGTGGAATTGCTGGGTCAAATGGAGTTGGAAACAACCTAAGTGCCCATCAACAAACGAATGGCTAGAGAAGCTGTGGTATATTCGCACAATGGAATACTATGCTGCATTAAAAAACAAGGAACTCATGCAATATTATTCAAAATGGTTGACTCTGGAGAACATTATGCTGAGTGAAATATCCCAGTCACAAAAGGACAAATATTACATGATGCCACTGTTGTAGAATGGGACTGTCCTTGGGGTTAGGGAGACACTGAGTAAGATGGGTTCAATAATGTATACTGCACTGAAGCAGAGGAGGGAGAGAACCGTCTAAAAGAGAGATGTAACTGGGTATTTCTGTCATCACAGGAGACTAGAGCGAGGGCTGCATGGTGGAGGGGACCTGGGGGAGGGTTTGTAAAACAATGAAAGAATCTTTTCTTTTACTTTTCCATAATTTTTGGACTCATGTACTTATAACTTGTTAGTCAAATTTGTGTCTTCTAGGTTGCAACACCCCCATGATACATCTTGAAGGATATGTACATGTACAGCCAAGCACAATCAATAAGAGTGCATCTGAATTCCAAAATCAATCTCCATAATAGTCTATGTGTTTCCTACTGCCAAAGGGGCCCTTTAGAGTAGTGAGAGAAGATCTTCACCCTGAAACCCACAGCGTCCCTTTTCAGCAGGAAGTAGCTAAGAGAATACGCCGTCCCCTTTTCCTTATGACTCAGGGTGAAGTCTCTCTCAGGGAGGAGTGATAGGGAATGGCAAAGGATACACTGACAAAGAAGATTAATCAGAACTGGCTTTGACAAGCACTGTGGCATTTGGACAAGAACAAACTGGGAGGAGGGTAGAGAGAATAGTGCAACAATGAATGAGTGGAAGCCCAAAATCTCTGTAAATGTTTATGAAAATTAATAAAATATAATTATAGAAAAAAAATTAAAAAAAAATGAGTTCATGACCAGAAAGGGTAGCGTTTTGTTAAGTTCTGCATGGATTCACCATGGACTGGGGACAGCCTTGGCCATGGATGGTAACAAAAATAGTGTAGTTCTACATTTACGTTTTACGTTCTCTGGTCTTCTCTCAAAAGGATTGAGTCGGAGGAACGAGTCATGAACTCTAAGAGGTTAAAGAAGAGGTGAGTAGAAAACTTACACAATACTTTTGAGTGTACAGTCGGGTTGTTGGATTGCTTCACAAAGAACATCGAGGAAGGCGTCTTCGAGGGAACAGTTTTCTAATTCTAACACCTGGAGCTTCTTGTTGGTGTTTAACACCGTTAAAAGCTCTTTCCAAAAGTGGAGCTTTGCATCACTGTGAGAGGAACAAGACCGTGATTAGCCAAGGGCTTGATTCCATAGAAGGCGTTTGAAAAAGAACCAGAATCTTCTCCAAACAGATGGATGTTGGTCCTACACACGGATTAGTCAAGTAAACCGAGCCAACGTGTCACAGTCATTAAAAATCTGTACTCTGCCCATCAACAAACGAATGGCTAGAGAAGCTGTGGTATATTCGCACAATGGAATACCTATGCTGCATTGAAAAACAAGGAACTCATGCAATATTATTCAAAATGGTTGACTCTGGAGAACATTATGCTGAGTGAAATACCCCAGTCACAAA